TCCTCTGATCTGTGACAGTTGCACTGTTCAGAAGGTCTTTCATGTTCTCTTTTAGGGCCTTGATGTGGTCCAGTCCAGAGGAGACAACCTGGCCTCCCGGCACCCCCGCACAGCAGGACGTGATGCTGGCCAGCTCTGCGCCATCCTCCCTCGTTGTGAGGCTGTGCTCCGCTGGCCGGCGTTCAGAAGGAGATGGCCAGGCCTTTCTTCCTAGTGTGTCTCGGTGATCTCTGGAAGCTTCACTGAAGCCCGCTCAGCACTAGCAACGCGCACGCCTGCACTGACAGACAGGGCCCAGAATCGAGCCCAGCTCTCCTGCAGGAAGGCGAGGCTGCCGCCACGGCACACACCGTCTGGGCAAAGGCAGTCAGGCAGCCACAAAAGGTATCTGTGCCGAACTCATTTTAAGCCAAAGATGACCAACAATACACATACCTCCTGGACCACAGACACACATGTACAGCAGTGAAAGACAGTCACAAAACAGACTCGCCCAGTTTTCCACGTTCCCGTCTGCTTGTCCTGGGGAGCATTCGGTGGGTAAATAATGGTTGCTGTTGTTGGGTGCTACACAGCCGGTTCCGGCCCACAGCGACCCAATGCGCTACAGTGTGACGTCACACCCAAACAGCACACTCACTGCCATAGAGGAGATTGATGCTGACTCATAATGACCCTCTGGGACAGGGGAGAACTGCCCCCAGGAGTTCCTGGGGCTGTCATTCTCTACGGGCGTAGCCAGCCCCAGTCTTTTTGATGAGGAGCAGCTGGTGGTTTTGAACTGCTGGCTTTGGAGGTCATGGCCCAACTTCTAACCACTATGCCGCCAGGGCTCCTACAGAACAAAATGCTGCCTGGCAAATAAGGTTAGCAATTTCCAGTTTCTAAGCTGGAAGGAACTTTAAGAAATCCTCTAGGTCTTCTCTCTCAGGACGCCCCGGGCAGATGAGTACCTAAGCCCCTTCTCACGTAGTTCCAGTAGTGGGGGGCTCAGTGCTTTCTGAGGTCTTGTTTCATCCATGAAAACACAGGCGTGTTAGGAGGCAAAACACCCAACTCGCATTTCTTGTGCAGATCTGAGGTTTCTTGCTGTGCTTTGAAGTGGTTGTACTTTGGGTGTTCTGGCGTGAGAAGACCCCCTCTGTGGATGGGGGTAGATCGTTCTTGCCTGGGGTGGTCATTCCTGATGTCATTGCCTTGTAAAGCATGGGGGTCCTGAGGGGGACACGGCCCAGACTCTTAGCGGCTGACTGGAGAAGAGACCTGTGCTTCTCGGAGCTGTGATTCTTGGGCCCGCACTGGAGACACTGAGAGTCTGCCGTGGTGGTGGCTGGGCCGAAGAAGGCACGGAAAGAAACGCGAAGCTCCGTGGCAGGGCCTGGGGTCTTTACTCTTTGTGCTGGTTTCTCCTTACCTCCCCACAGCCTTTCAAATGTCTTGTTCAAATGTTCCAGCTGGGCCTTACAGGGAGCGTGAAGGATCCATGCTTACTTCCCGAGGACATTGGGGGGATGGGGGTGGGGATGGTGCCCTCAGTGCCCACTTTCAGTGATTAAAAGAAATGTGCATATTGGGGAGCACGCCTCGGGCCCAAGAGGTCTACCTGCTCTTCCCCACCGGCGATCCACCCATCACTCCCATCCTTTCACTCAGGAAGCTGCCGAACTTCTTACAAAGGTAGTGCCGACATCGGCCTCTCAGTGACGTACCCACAGGCCTATTCCTGCCTCTTCAGAAGGCACAGCTGCCATCGAGTGCATGCTGACTCACAGCGACTCTATGGGACAGGGTAGAGCTGCCCTGTGGGTTTCTGAGGCTATAACTCTTACAGGAGTAGAAAGCCTCATCTTTCTCCCTCAGAGAAGCTGGTGGTTTCGAACTGCCGAACTTGCAGTTAGCTGTCCAACTCGTAACCCACTTCGCCACCAGGGGGCCTTCGGAACCACACAGAGGAACCATACTCACATTTATTGAGGGCCCACTATGTGCTGGGCCCTGCGCAGTATCTCATTTCTATTATTCTCCCCTAGTATAGAGGTTGAGCTAATGTGCCTGGGGCCAGATCCCAAATCAGTGGCAGGATTTGAACTCAAGTCATCTGCCACCACAGCCTGCAGCTTGGGCCCTCAGAAATTCTGCTGGGCCTTTAAGGTGACCAGATTTAAAGCGGGACACCATTGACCGGGGTTCTTGATTAAAAATTTGGTCTATATGGACCAAATAGACCGTTCCATAGTTTGTCGTGCATTCTTTCCAAAAATCGGGAATTTTTTAAAACACCAAAAATCGGACTGTCCCGCCAAAAGCAGGATGTCTGGTCACCTGAGCCTATTCCTGTGAGAGTCCACTGAGGTCTACAGCCTGTGTCACATGTCCTGCCTCCTGGCTGAGCCCCCGCCCGGTCCCCTGGCTGCTTTTCCTGTGACACAGCCTTGGGGTGGCTTCCACCCATGTGCATGGTAGCCCTGAACAATGCAGAGAACGCCAAGTCCAAGCCCGTCTGACCTCTGGTGAACTGTCCCTTCTTGGCCCTTGGACAACCTCTGGCTGAAGCCTCCGGAAGCCCTATTTACAGCATTCTCCCCCTCTGTGTTTTTTCTGCCTGTCCTCAACAGTTCTTCCACCAGAACAACAGGCTCAGTTTTCCCATATGATCAATCCGGTCACCCTAAATACGGGGCTCTGAGCAAACAGGAGCGGCTGGTCCCACACAGCTCTCATTTCAAAATGCGGTCTCAGGTGGGTGGCTATTTTGGTAATCTGGTTTCTTTCCCCAAACACCGTGGCTTGAAGTCAGAGGGTAGCGATGACAGGAGGAGATGCTGGGAGAGAAGGCACACCTAGGCAGCAGGGTGTGCATAGACATGCGGAGCCATGGTTCCCACACTTCTCCAGACGGCAGCCTGCACGCTACTCTGTGACAAAGAGGGTCCTTGGGCACGTGCAACTGGGAAATACTGCCTGGCCAACCTCCCTTCCGGAGGCCAACGGTGTAACGTGCCTGTTAAACACGAGCAGAAATCCCAGTAGCTGATGAACCTGCTGCTTTCTCTAACCCAGTGTTCCCACTTATCAGAGTGACCTGGGCTTGGGGTGACCCCAGCCACAGCTGAATGAGGTGCTGCCTGCTCCTACACCATCCCCAAGGCTGGTTGTCGATTGGGCCCCTGTGCTCCGTAGGGTTTCCTGGCCTGAGTTTGGGAAGCAGATCCCCAGGCCTTTCTTCCTCATCTTAGTCTGGAAGCTTGGCGGAAAGCCGTTTGGCATTATCGCAAGAGGGAAACCTCCCCTGACAGTGTGGGTGTCTGTGGCCCTGTATGCCACCTGGGTCTCCCACATGGAGGATCCGAGCCACCCTTGCTCCGCATTGAAAGTGTGCACTGGTCACATCCCAGGAGACAGGGAGGCTGACGCTGCGGGTTGGCACCTAGTCCAACTTTTAATGGCCCAGTGGTCCCAGGTTTGCCTCTGAGAAGTTGCATTTGGCTTGCATGATATTTAGCTTCTGTCTTCAATTCATTATTAACGTTTAAGAATCGGACTGTATTGCTCACAGTTATCTGGATTGGAATCCTTCTTGGAAAACTCGGGAGACCTGGTGACGCTGCTCCACAGCTGCACGGCCATGGCCAAGCCCGGTCTAAGCAAGTGGGCTTGGCTCTGGGCAGCCCATGCCTCCCCAGCCCTGCTACTCACTCACACTTGTCTGGCCCGGATCCCACACTTTCCTTCTTTGGCCCAGAGTTTTCCTTGGATGCGAATTGGCCAGGGTGATGCCTGTGGCTCATTCATTTGTTCGTTCATTCATTCATGCAACAAATATTGATTGAGCTTTTGCTGCGGATACAGATGGATATAATAGCGACTGCCCTCTGGATTCCAGTTCTGACCGTTTTAGATTCGAATCAGTGAGTCAATCAGGGAGGTGCGGGCAGGGTCTGAAGAAGCAGAGAGCTAGCAGTTCCCAGCGTCCGGAATCGAGGCCCAAGTGCCTGACAAAGCTGTCCCTGTTTCTCCAACTTTGCCCTGGCCTGGTTGAAAACCATGCGGGTCCCTGAAAGCTTACTGTGTGCCACCAGCCCGCGGGTTTGACTCTCCAGGACCTTGTGTGCCAGTCCCAATTAGAACCGGCACCCTTGGGTTATCTAGCTACAATCCTATGGGAACAGATCACCACTCTCTCTTCCTCATTGGACTGCTGAGAGGGAATGCTAAATCTGCGTGATCTAGGAATCCAGGGCTCGCCTTACCGGAGCAGTTCCGTCTCATTCCAAGCAGCCCAGCTCCTTGTCACCAGTCCCGGCCAAGGCGGGGCCTGGAGCCCGCGGGACCAGAGAGCCTGGGCCTCCCGCCCAGGGGTGGAGCCGAGGTTCGACGTCCCGCCTCTCCACCTGGGGCTTGGCCCGGCAGATGTTACAACTTTTTGGCATTTTCGAGCGCGGTGCCCGCCCCTCCTCTCCCACGCTCACCCCAGACCCGCCCAACCGTGCCTCCCTCCGGTTCTCCGTTGGGGTCCTGCCCGCCTCCCTGTGGGGAGTCCTCCCAGTTCTGAAGACTCCGGGCGGGGCGAGAGGCCGGGCCGGAGGGGGGTGGCTGAAGGGTCGGGGAAGGAGAAAGGGAGAGCGGGAGAAATCGGGGTTAAAAGGAGAGGCGAGTCAGAGGATGGTGGAGAGCACTATTTGGAAGCTGCCAAGCCGCATCTCAGAGTGGCCGGATTGAGCTGGGGGAAAGGGAGCGAGAGGGGAGCCCGGCGGCGAGAGGCACTTGGGCACAGGCCTGACCTGCCCAGAGCGCCCCGCAGCGGCGTCAGGCTGCCAGTCCGGGACCACCGGCCACTGGGTCTCCTTTGGGGCGTAGAGCGCTGTGGCAGCGTCCAACAGCTGTCAGGCGGGCTGCCGGGTCGTGCGTCCTGGGCGCACGAAGCAGTGAGGCCAGTGGAGCTCTGCGCGCTGTGACGCGCGCACCAGCGTGGCGATGCACGCCCTCACCGGCTTCTCACTAGTCAGCCTGCTCAGCTTTGGCTACTTGTCCTGGGACTGGACCAAACCGAGCCTAGTGTCCGATGAGCCCGGGGAGGCTGGCTCAGAGCAGCCATCGACTGCATCACCCCAACCTCCCCACATCATCTTCATCCTCACGGACGACCAGGGCTTCCACGACGTGGGCTACCACGGGTCAGAAATCGAGACCCCTACGCTGGACCGGCTGGCAGCGGAAGGCGTCAAGTTGGAGAATTACTATATCCAGCCCATCTGCACACCTTCCCGGAGCCAGCTCCTCACCGGCAGGTAGGGATCGCCCAAGGCAAGCCAAACTAAGCCAGGTCTGTAGATTTCACCTGCACCTACAACCCTGGTGCTGAGACCTGGGACACCAAGGCCCGGGGCAATTCTAGGGATTGTTACTAAGTCCTTTGCCTGCCCACCCTTTACCTTAGTTTCCCTACCTGATACTTTGAGGTCTCTCATCTCTGATGTTCTAGCACATTCACACGCCCATGATACCACTGAGTGAGTGACTGTGAGTCGGAATAGACCACAAGGTCTATTTTTGTCTGTCTGTCCATCTGTCTGTTTCTTTTACTATTACTGGGAGGATTGACACCCAAGCAAACCAAACCCACTGCCATCCAGTGGGTTCTGACCCAGCACCACCCTGCAAAGACTGCAAATCTTTATAAAAGCCGATAGCCTCATCTTTCTTCCGAGAAGCAGCAGTGGGATTTGAACCACCAACCTTTGGGCTAGCAGTCCGATGCTTTTCCAACAGTGGCACCAGGGCTCCTTCCTGGGAGGATTAGGGTCCCAGACTGCTCAATGACTACACTGGAGGAAGGCTGGGAGTTGATAGGTAGAAGAGAAACACCCACAAGGTGCCATGTCTGGGTGTCCCTGGACACCATCTAATGTATGTGCCTTCATAAACAACGCCCACACACATCTTATGTGCATAGCTGGGTGCATATGAAACGAATGTGGCATTTGCACGTGCGAACACACACACGCACACACTGCATAGAGCTCACTGAGTGCCTTAAGAGCATGGCGCTTCATTTCTCTGGGAGCCTCTGCGTTTCCGTCTATGAAATCCGTCCAAGTTGGCTGGCGGCCCTAAGGAGGTGTGCAGCTCTCTTTGTCAGGAATTGTCCTCCGGTGAGGCAGCAGCATTAGAGGATTAGAGGAACAGGGAGCTGGGAGACTGGGGAGTGCAAGGCGAACTCTGGCCACTTCGGAGAAAATCCCTGGCAGGGCTGAAACTAATCCTTCTTGGGTGGCCTCCAAGACATGCTCTCTCCCAGGCCCCACCTTACAGCCACTAGCGTGCGCTCAGAACCCACAGCCTTACTCTTCCGGTTCCTGGATGAGAGAAACTGAGGCAGGGCCCAGGGGGTCCTAGAGCTGGAAGTCTACGGTGCCTTTGCTGCCCCGGATCTGACACACAACAGGTTAAAGCCAGAGGGGGGGTGGGGGGAAGAAGAGGAAGAGAGGAGGGAGTGTACGTGTTGGGGGTGAAGGGTGTGGGTGTGTGTGTGTGTGGGGGGTGAAGTCCAAGCGCTGACAATCCAGAAGAGGCCTGAGGCATCTGTGTCCCGAGAAGGGCACACACGTTTGTCTGTCCGTCCGTTCCTTCCTTCCTTCGCACTTCTCTCCCAGGGCTGACTTTTGGTTTAATCGAGGAATGAGCAGAGCAGCCAGCGGGCAGCAGTCCAGCCCTTGGGATTGCAAAGCTGGCTAAGCATGGTCGGTGGTGTTCTGCCCTCCACCCCTGCGGCTGGCTCCGTCTAACTGATGTCCACTGCTCTCCTTAGGGGGTGTTAACACGTCCAGTGGTGCTGCGGGAAGCTGTAGAGAGCCAAACTTTCCCACGTTACTCACTTGGTGACTCTTAGCTGGCCAGCTTCACTGTACAGATCAGTGTCCCACGGCCCCACCCCTAGGAAGAGAGGCTCTTGGGAGCTTCCTGCATCCGATCCAATCTGGGTGTAACCTAGATCCAAATGTCAGCTCCACTGCTCCGGCGAGACCGCGTGCTGCAGTTTGGGGAGTCTTCATTCCATCGTCTCTGCAAGCAGCAGCTGCTGTGTCGATTTGGATGCTGGTTGTGGAGCGGGGGTCATAGTGGTCTTCCCTGTCGATTTCTAAATGAGGATTAAATGAAACAATACACCTATGAGGCATGGTCGTAGTGTTAGCAATGGTAGTCACCCACCTTGGCTGTAGAGTCGATTCTGATTCATAGTGACCCAACGGGACAGAACAGAACTGTCCCCGCAGGTTTCCAAGGCCGCGGAACAGACTGCTGCATCCTTCTCCCGTGGAGCAGCTGGTGGGTTTGACCCGCTCACCTTTCGGTTAGGAGTGGATTGCTGTAACCCACAGTAAGGAGCCCCGTGCCACCGGGGCTCCTTACAAAAGGCAGTAGTAGCTCATCATCGCTACAACAGTGATAGCTTTCGAATAAATTTAAAAAAACCAAACCCAAACAGAGAAACCCATCTTAGAGCCCCCGTGAAAGGTGTCAGGCATTCCGTCTTGGCTTCCCTTGCATGCCTAGGGGTGAGAAGAAAAGTGTGGGCTTCTAACATACTTGTGAAGTTCCAGGCTCTGGGACTTTTAAGACTGGAGTATGGCAAGACCTCCTGTGCGTGGATCACAAGGGTGGCGGCGGGGGTGGTGGTGCTTGACACAGGAGAGTGAATGGGCAATGGAGGACTAAGAGGAAAAGCAGAACCCGCCTATTTGCTCCAGCCGAGGCATGTTGGATCAAGGGGTGTTTTAGCCAGTGCTCTTATCACAGACATGCCCCAGGGGTTGGCTTTACCCAACAGAAACACATTTCTCTATAGTCTGGGGAGGCACAGGTCGGAATTCCGAGGGCTTGCTCCAGGAAAAGCCTCTTTCCTTTAGCTCTGGAGGAAGGGCTGTGTCTCTTCCGCATCTGCTTCCATGTGTGTTAGCTTCTATCTCCCTCCCCACCCCTTACCGCCCCCCCACCTCTGCTCACTCTCTCGTTTAATTCCTTCATATCTCAAAAGAGATGGACTCAGGATACACACTAATTCTACCTCATTGATAGAACCGAGACAACCAACCCTTTCCCAAAGAGGATCATAACCACGAGCATAGAAATTGGGATTGTTGCATTGAGGGAGTACTTGAGTGGGGGCCCAATGTCCCTCTGCTACCTTAATACTAAACCTATAAATATAGGCACACAGATCTATTTCCCCATCCTCATATATAAATATATTTGCATATGAACATGTCTATATAGACCTCTATAAATGCCCTTTGCCTCCCAGCTCTTTCCTCTATTTCCCTTGACTTTCCTCCTGTCCCACTATCATGCTCAGTCC